TTGATTGTGATGATGGCACAGGATAGGACAAAGTTCAGATCTGATGTTCACAGAGTTGCTATGAGTCGTATACAAGTTTACAGAATTGGAGGAAGCCATCAATAATCTGCATTATGAAGATGACACAATCTTGCTTGATGAAAATGAGGAGGACTTGAAACGCTTGCGGCAAAGGATAAAATACTACAGCCTTCAATACAGGTTACAACTCAACCTAAAGAAAAATATTCAATACGAGACCAATAGGCAACACTGATGGAGATGAGGTAGAAATTGTGAATGACTTAATCTTGCTTGGATCCACAATGAACACCCTTGGAACCAGCAGCCAGGAAATCAAAAGACATACTTGTATTGGGAAAATTTGCTCTCAAAGATCTATTAGAAGTGCTGGAGGGCAAAGATGTCAAGTTGAAAACTAAGGTGCACTCAACCTAACCCAAAATCTTTTCAATTATTTGCTGAAAAGTAGACAATGAATAAGGGTGACAAAAGAATTGATGCCTTTGAGTTGTGGTTGGAGAAGAGTCTTGAACATCCTCTGGACTGCCAACAGGACAAACAAGCATGTCTCAGGAAAGGTATAGTCAGGGTGTGCCTCAGAGGCAAGGATAGTGAAACTTCATCTCACATACTTTGGACATGTGTTAGGAGGGGCTGGTCCTGGGAAAACGACATCATTCATGGAAAGTGGAGGGTCAGCAAAGGAGAGGAAGACCCTGAACAAGATTGATTTGCACAGTCACTGTGAACAGTGGGCTTGGGTATGTCAGAGATGATGGGGGTGACATGGAATAGGGCAGGGTTCAACCCACTGTTCATAGGGTCACTCTTTATGCGTCCTACTCAACTTGATGGCACATAGTAACAAAAAGTCCAGGTTACTAAATGGGAGATCTTCTTAGAAATATAGATTCATTCAGTATCCCTGGGGTGGTGGTTGTTGTGTACCATCAACTTAGAACCGACTCAAAGCTGAATGTCTGGGGGGTTTTCAGAGGCAGTTAATCTAATCACACAGGAAGAGATTATTCACCCTTCTCCCATGGAGCAGCTGGTGGATTCGAATTGCATGCCTTTGTGACTGCAGTGCAGCTTCTTACCACTAGGCCACCACAGCTCTGGAGTGGAAATGAAAATTCTCAGCAGTTGGGGATGGGGTAGGGTCGCAGGTGGTGAGTAAAGAATTCCCAAAGAAAACCAAGTCCAGTTCCTGGCACACCCTAAACCAGAGCCCAACACTCTCCTCTGTCTCTTCTTCTCCAGGGACCCTTTACACAAAGGCAACACGAATAAGGCGTAAGAGCCATCCCAGATCACCCCCCCCTCCGCCCCGCTTTCCTTTTAAAGAAATTAACTTTGCCAATGCAAACATAAGGATGACCAAGAAAATGAGCTAATGGCCAAATGAAATTTGATCTGACAGAGCTGGTTTGGGGTCTCTGAATCACACTGAAGGTGCTTAATTGCAAAATACTAAGTTTCTGCAGGACGAGACCATGCTCAATTTCTCAGAAAAATAAAAGCTGTTGTTGTACCATTTCTATTTGGCACCAAAACCTGTGCAACTACCCAGTTAAAAGATCCCAGTCCCCATATCTGATTGCAGATTTGGTCATAACCTGGAGGAAGAGAAAAGCAGGCAGCTGTATCTACAGTGACCAGCAGGGAGAAGGCAGCTGAGTTAGAGGCAAGCAAGGGTCCTTATAATTTGTCCAGCATTTGGCATTGACAGCAGTGCCTGGCATGGAACAGGGGCACAGACATTTATTCTTGCTCAGCTATGTTCTGGAAGGTTAAAGAATGCCATCAGTAAAGATTTAAACTCCCTGGAGTCATGCATTCTAAATGGGTGCTGAGAACTCAATCAACAACCCATCAACTGCTGGCAAGTTGACCCCAGTTCATGGCAGCCCCATGCGTGTGAGAACTGTACCCCACAGTGTTCTCTGTGGCTGATTTTTTCAGAGGGAGATCAAAAGACCTTTATTCCAAGGCACCTCTGGATAGATTTGCATCTCTGACTTTTTAACTTTGTTTAAACTGTTTTGCACTACCCAGAGACTCTACTGATACACCACATTGAGGGAATCTGTTGCCTGCTCCCTAACACTCCCCCAGTCAGGCTCCCCTCCCATTTTTATGACTATGACAGCATGGCAGCTGTGGTTAAGGCTTGAACATCAATTCATGGTTTAACAAAAGCACCCAAAGAACATAAAACTAGAAAAATGCAGTTAAGTATTGCTGTCTAAAACTTTTATGGAATCATACATTCAGTTGTTTCTTTCTTTGATAAGATTCTTAGCCATTCTTTCAAACAAGGTATCTAGTCTGTATATATATAT